AAAGTGCAGATATCTTTTCAACATACAGTTTTTTTTTTTTTTTTTTTTTTTTTTTTTTTGTATGTATTTAGTATAGAGTCTACAGGATCTCACTACACAGGCTGGACCCATAGTGCTCCTCCTTCCGAGCGCTGGGATTACAGGCCCATACCACCATGCCCAGTCTCAATCCCTATCTCAGCCTGCTCCAGGAGGTAGGCAGCAAAGCACACGTGCATCGAACCTCAGTCCCTACACATCTGCCTAAGCAGGTGCTTTAAATTGCGGAGCTATCTGGCCGGCCCCTTCTTATCCTTTTATGAACACACCAGCCCAACTCGTGGAGCTTAAGCAGGTACCACACAGCCCTGGGAGTGGAATGGATGCCTCTTTAAAATTGAACCCTATTGCTGGGTGTAGAGACACACACCTATAATTCCAGAACTCAGGAGGGAGCCTGAGGCAGGAGGATCATCATGAGTGTAAGGCCAGCTTGCACTACATTGAGACCCTGTCTCAAGAAAAAAACAAACAAACCAAACAAGCAACAGCAAACTGAGTCCTGAGCCTCCTGCTTGCCTCTCCTAGCCCCAGCCCTGCACATGAGTTCATGAGGATGGCTGGACAGGAGCCAGGGAGGAGGGTGGTGCTGGAGGGATACCAAGGTGCCTTAAGGGGAGGGAAGGAGGCTGTAGATGGGACCCTTTATTTACTGAGCTTCTTGATTTGTTAAAATGGCCTGGAGGGTCTGCTATGGTTTGAGTGAGGCCCCTGAGGCTCCATGTATCAGAAGCCAGGTCTCCATGTGGTGGCATTAGGAAATTGTAGGACCTTGGGGCCAGGGAGATGGCTCAGTAGAATAAGCGCTTGCCTGGTAAGTGCAAGGTCCTGAGTTCAATCCCCGGCTCTGCCAAAAAAAAAAAGGAAATTGTAGGACCTTAAGGGGTGGGGCTCACTGCGAATTCACTGTGGAGTCTGTCCTTGGGAACATGAAAATGGTTTTCTTGCCCCCTCCCCCAGCAGCTCCTAGGTAAGGATTGCTAGGAAAGAATCAACCCTGGCCCTTCCTTTTCTCTCCTGCTTCTTTGTTAAAGATTGTCTCAGTTACCCTTCTCTCATTGCTGGGACAAAAACCCAAGACCCAAAATGAAGGAAGGAAAGGTTTGTTTAGCTCACAGTTACTGGAGGTTTCAGTCCATTCTCAGCTGCCTCCAAGGCAGACTAGCACATGGCAAAGAGCAGCAGTTCCTGGTGGTGGCAAAGAGCAAGAACAAATGGGAGGCGTAGCATCAACAATGACCACAGAGAGCAAGTCTCCCTTAAATTGCATTCAGGCTATCTGCCCCAGGCTGGGTAGAGTACTCACACTCATAATCCCAGTTGATCATGAGTTAATCACAAACTCTAGAAGCCAAGTTGCTTGTGACTCTGTGAGGCTTTGGGGGAAAACCTTTACACAAACCATAACAAAGATATAATCTCCATTGCCATCTGCCATGAAGTGAACCAGCTGAGAGCAGGAGGCCCTCATAAGAGCCTGTCTATGCGGTGCGGAGGCTCAGACTCCAGAACCATGAGCTAAATAAGGCCCTTTTCTTTATACAGTTCCACCTCCAGCACAGCTCTGAAAAACTCCCAGGGGGAGAACTATGTAGAAATGAAGGTAAGAGTGAAAATGCAGAAAGCTGAGGTCAGGTGGAGCCCTCTGTCTTGGTGGAACAAAGATGCCACCCAATGACCATAGCACATTTATCTGCTCAGCAGGTTGACGTCAGGTGAAACCCTCCTGCCTAACAACTTGTTCACCTGGCTCTCCCGGGGCACCTCTTGTCCTCGGGGCTGGATCAATTTGTCCACCTGGCTCACCTCAGATGCTCCATATTCTCAGGGTGGCCTTGCTCTAGCCTTGCATGTGTGATCAATCCTCAGCTGCAGCCACTCCCCAAAATAAAGTTAGCCCATGTCAGGTTTTTGATTATAGTAACAGAATGCCAATGAATTTGGGGCCATTGGAAATCAATGGAAGAAACCGTATAGAAAGGCTAGAGATATGGAACCACAGAGGAATGTGATTGATGATGTATATTTTGCCTGGGGAGAGTCATGTGGAGAGAAAAACATTCTCTCAGGCTTTCACAGAGAGCAAATTAGTCAAACAATGGCTGTAACTCATCCTCATGGCTGACACTGACAAAGGATCT